ACTATTCAGTATGTGCCCCAGGCCCAACAAATTAGGACGATACAGAAAGACAATAAGCGGGTGGTTAGTTTGTATTACGTTGTGAAGTCTCAAGAGGGTCTTCAACTTGTCTTAAAAGAAAATTTTACAAAGTCAGTGCATATTGTGTATAATGAAATAGCTAGCAATGTAAAAAGTGGGAGTATTGTAAGAGAAGGAAAATACAAAAGCTCATTCTATAACTAACAACCGTAGTGTATATTCGTGTATTATCACTGCAACTATTTTTTTTCTCCTTCAGTTTCCTTTTTTTTTTTTAATTTTTTAATGTTAACTGTTTTTTAGAGAGAGAGAGAGTATGTGTGATGGAGGAAGGGGCAGACAGGGAGACAGAGAGGAATCTGAAGCAGTAGACTCTGAGCTGTCAAGCTGAGCTCGAAATCACAAACTCTTGAATCATGACAAAAGTCGGACACCTAACCAACTGAACCACAGAAGCCCCTCAGGTTTCCTTTTTAAGTGATAGACTTTTTCTTTTCACCAGCTTTTCTGTATCTTGTCCCTATAGAGGTACAGTTGAATGATATGAATCTGTAGGTTGGGGACAAGTATGTCTGTGAAATAAGGGAAAAAAAGAATTTCTGAGTACTGTTTCTGGAGGAACCCTCAGGATGAGGCGCTTCTCCAAGTGGGGGAGTGAGCCAGCTCATCAGGAATGCCACTCAGCCTTGTCCTCATAATTTTCCATAGCAAGCTTGTGCATTGGTGCCCGTCCTGACCCCTGCCAGGAGCCATCCGCCTTGGTCTGAGCCAGTTTTGTTTTTCTAGCTGGGTCATTACACTCAGGAGTTCTTCTGACCTTTTGTTTCCTTCTCAGGAATGACAGTAATAAAGGTTACGCTTCTGTTACAGAACTTCTCCAGGGAACAGTTTGCCTTCGCGCGGTAAGGTATAACATGTGTTTTCTCTTCCTTTGTCCATAACAGACCACATCTTCCTGATATGTGAAGATCTCAGAGAAAAAGACAGAAGAGAGAGAGAGAGACCTCAGAAAAAGGGTGTACCACTTCTCTTGGTTCCCTTCTTTCTAGTTCAAAGCCCACTACTGAGAAAGTTCTTCCTGAGATCTAACTGTGAAATCCTCTCTGAGTACAGTTCAAACTCATTTTCTCTTGTCCTCGAAGACAGAAGGCAGAGCCTGACTGGTCATCATCGACCTGACTGGTCATCATCCTTTGAGAATATTCCTTCAGAGACTTATTCTTAGTGGTAACTTGTGCTGTGGATTGTAGATTCTGAGGAAGCCTAGGTTTGTACTGATGATTCCTTGGACCTGCGGCTGCTGGCGGGGCCTGCGAACCAGATGGGAGAATTGACAGCCACTCGTGTTAGAGACCAGGGTAGAAAGAGAGTGGCCCAGCCCATTCCAGAGTAGTGACACTGAGAAAGATTCCTCTCCCTCAAGTCCTTCTCCATGATTGGTTCCTTAAATGCCCCTATCAGTTGCTTGCAGCTTTTTTGTTTGTATGTAGTTAGAGTGAGCTGAAATCAGATAACTCAGGAGACCTAGATATCTCACAGTCCAAAAGCGTTTATGGAACACTTGCCAGGGAATCCCAGGTGCTTTATTGCTAGGTGTTTGGGATACAGGCTGACACAAATGGCCCTTCCATTGAGAAACTCACAGACTGTCTCTTTGAAGACAACAACGTGAAAGATAATTTCAGTGAATTATGAATTCAGACTACAGCATAAAATATATATATGTGTGCATGTATATATGCATACATATATATCTCGTTAATATATATATATATACCATATATAAATATATATATGTGTGTTAATATACATATATATGTATGTATATACACACATATATAAATATATACACATATGCTCTGTGTATATATAATATTAACAAACTTTTTTCCTCTATCTTTTTAGAGTATAATATATATATAATATCACGATGTGTGTATGTATATGTATATATTATTGTATATATATGTGTGTGTATGTATATATGTCGTGTATGTGTATATATGTACATGTATATGTATGCTATATACTGCGTGTGTATACTAATACATATGTGTATGTATATATGTAGCAGCCTTGTAGCGTGTGTGTATTAATATGAGGGAAAAAGAAAAGATCTGCTGGGAGGAGAGGAGGATCCTGGGACCTAGACTGCACCACTGTGCTGCCTGACTTCCTGTCATACTGGGCTGACACCCTGTTAGTACCTGCAGTTCCTCACCACCTCTCTAAATCTAGTCTTCACGGTGGGGATTTGTGTGGGGATTTGTGTGGTCATTTCACCTTTGAACAAATAGAACTTTGAACTTCATGGCCAAGGCCATGAAGCTGATCCAGTAACAGAATGGCTCTGGAGTATACAGGGTGTGCACATGGACTGAGCCATAAATGTTCAGCCCACCCATTTTAGAGCCCATTTGTGGGATGGAACCCTATCTTTATCCAGCGAACCCAGGAAGGAAGCACACCCGAGCAGACCTTGTCTGTTTCTAGGATGACACGCCTGGCCCAGTCCAGGGGACCGTCCTCGGCAGCATGGGGTGTTAGCCCGCGGTTCGCTCCTTTTTCTGCAAGCTGTGTGGTCCTCAGCTGGTTACTCAGTGGGTCTCGATGTCTTTCTCATCTGTAAAATGGAAAATACACATTTCTCCTTGCCGTCTTTATGCGACTGTTTAAGTTGATGAGGCTGAAGACAGCTAACATGATTACTAGTAAAAGTGAGGAGTTTTCCAATGGTCTGGAAGCCTCTGAGTTTGCTCCTCTGGTTAGTGTAGCTGGAACAGTGATTTATTGCCCCCATTAGTGCCGGTGAGATGTTGCTTTAGGATCTACTGATAGGTGCTGAAAATGAAGTTTTACAACTTGTGGAGCTGCTCTTGTCTGTGTCTCTTTAGTGTCCCGTGTGCTTGATTTCTGACTCCAGGCTTCCTATTTCTCCCTCTCCTTTCCCTTCTCCCTCTCTTTTCTCTTCCTCCTCCTCCTAAATCTACACACTATCCTTGGGCTGTTTCTCCACTCTGGCCTTAACTATTTCTATGTGATGATGACTCTTGCACACTATCTCAGACCTCTTCTTTTTCTTGAGCCCCAGGCTCCTTACCATGAAACTGATGGACATTCCATGGAGGTGTTCTTCCAGAACTCAGCTGTTGGTTATTACTCGAACTGGCCTCTTTCCCCCAGCCTGTTTCCTCTCCCTTGGTCAGGTCCCTTGCATTTGAGGTGGTACTGGGTCAGCTTCCCGAGCTTGATACTCCTGGGAGAGTGCTCTTCAGAATCTGTCTTCCCACCACTGTTGCTCCTTCCCAGGCCACCGTCTTCCGCGTGTCCCTAACTGGTCCTTAAATATGTTCTGCCAGGGTCCTCCTCCTGGCTCTCTACTAACAGAGAAAGCCCTGTCCTTTAATTCAGTAGCGGACTGGTCTTGGTGACCTCACTTCTGCTCCCCTCCTGCTTCCTTTGTGAGGCTACTCCCAGGACCTGCCTCCAGCTGGTGACCTCCCAGCGCCCTTTCGAGAGTGGGATGCTTTCTCGTATTTCCAGTTCTCCCCAGACACTGATAGCTGGAAATCTCCTGGCTCGACCCCACCTTGCCAGCCTGCCCTTCTTCTCCTTTGGTCTTTCCTCAGGAAGTATTTCCAGACTCAAGTGTTTCTTACGTTCCTGGTTTTGTGATGATGTTCCTAAATTGTGATTCTCTGGTCGTTGCATCCTTTACTGGATCATAAGCTTGGTGAGGGCAGAGTTGGTTTTATTCAGTGTTTGTTTTTTTAGTCAGTGCCTGCTGACTCTTTGCATGGAACATCATGAGGAGCTCAATAAAGTATTGAGAACAAGCAAGTAATCAAATGGATGAAGGACTGTAGAGACGGCAGGATTTTCAAATTCTAGCATAAATCATTTCACAAAAGCAAGGAGTGGGAGTCTTGAAGCTGGGTCAATTGCCCCTCATAGCATTTTTGACAGTCTGGATTCTTACATAATGGCTCGTTTGCTTTAAGCCTGTTGGTTTCCTTTATTGCATTTCTTCCTCTGTGCATTATTGTCTTCCATCAGACTGTAGGTGCTGAACCAGAGACTGCCATCCTCCTTCTAAGAATTGGTTTCTGTTTAAGTTTGGCATATTTGAATGAAAGAGTAGTTGACTTTTCCCCAAAAGCCCAGGGCTCAGGATGCAAACACATTGGAAGCAACATTTTGGCGATGGTGGGAGCCCAGGGCCCAGATGCGGTCTGCAAATGGGAGTAACCCTTTTCCTGCCAAACACCTGTGACAGCTTTGAAGGATGTTTGATTTGGGGAGGCGAGGGGGAGCTGTGGTAAGTTGCATGGTAACAGTACTTTTCATTCTGATTCCAGGTCAGGGCAACCGTTGTTCCTCTTGCAGGAGAGAAGGATTTGGAATACATATATCCTTCCTTTTGCCCCCCTCCCCACAATTAATCCAACAGATACTCATCAACCACATGTTACACTCAGGTGCTATTCTGAACACCAGAAACTGCGATATGTAAATGGATTTCTGCCCTTACATTAGAGCTTGGATTCTGGGTGGAGAGACAGCAAACAGATTAACAATGCAACATTCATCCTGTTTATTTGAAAGCAGGTTGCTTGGGGGGACCTGGGTGGCTCAGTCAGTTAAGTGTCCGACTTTGAAAATGAGCTAAATCTCCCGGTTAGTGGGTTGAGCCCACATGGGAGCTCTGTACTGAAAGCGAGCAGAGGCAGCACGCAGATCCTCTGTTTCCTTCTCTCTCTTGCCCCTCCATCTCTGTCTCTCTCTTTCACAAATAAACATTAAAATTTTAAAAACAAATTCCTGCGGCACATGCATAAGAGAGTGAGTCTGTTTCTAAAACTGAAATGGAACTGTTAATGTCTTCCTGGGAACCTCTCTGACTTCCCCTGGGGAGTCCTCTCAGGTTTTA